ACGTTCAAACCACACCCAAAAAAGCCTATAAAAGGTACTAGGGGCATCTCATGGGGCCCCCTACTGACCCTGGACCCTCCGGCAGTGCCCGAGAATGGTCAGTCCAGTCCTGCTCTCCAGGTACATACACTATCGTTGATGCCAACAGACCTCAATTTGTAAATTGCTATACATAGGAAACAATGGCATGCAGCTTGTTATAGCGATTATATAGCACAAAGCTCCAATTGCTGCTGGGCAGTTTTAGTAGCATGATTTTACTAGCAAAACTTTCCAGTGTGTACCCAGCAATAGAGACTTAAGCAAGGTAAAGTATATGTGTGTTTTCATTACAATACATGAATACAATTTACTGAATATGGCTGGATGTTTGACATCATTACTGGTCGATTTCACTTCACTGCACCTCTTTTCACACTTGAGTAATTCGGACGTTATATCAAACTAAAGTGAGCATGTAATGCAAAGTTTGTCCTTGCTGATGCTGATATTCCCGTCAGATAGTCTCTTAAAGGATCCCTTCCACCTTGGAAGAATGTTTAAAAGCAACCACCAATACAGCTAATTTTACATATCCACTCATCTTTGTGAATGTATTAAGTCTTTTCTGAATAATACATATATTGACATAATGTTATAGGTCATTTATGAGCTACAACACAGTATTTTGTTTCTGCTATTCTGGGCCAGACACATTTTATAAATATAGAAATGAAGATGCATTGAATATAGTTAGCTAAGCCATGTTTTTAGCACAAAAACCACTCCCTTAAAATTATATTAAAGGTTTGGCTTAAAAAAAAAATAAAGATGTCATACTTACCTGCTCTGTGCAGTGGTTTTGCACAGAGCAGCCCCGATCCTTTTCTTCTTCTCTGGTCCCCCGCTAGCATTCCTGGTTCCTCCCCCTTGACCAATGTTTCCAATAGCAACCGCTTGCTATGGGAAAACTGGTGCATGCTCATTGCTGAGACCAGCTCTATGCATCCATAAAACACAGAACGGAGGCTCGGCCCTGCCCCCTGCTCTCTCCTCATTGGCTCATTGGCTGTGATTGAACCCATTGGCTCTCGATGCTGTGTCTCAGCCAATGAGGAAAGAGAGACCTGGGACAGCCGGGACTCTCAGGCACATCGCTGGATGGAGAGGGGGCTCGGGTGAGTATTAGAGGAAGCTGTGAGGGGGAACAGCATACAGAAGGTTTTTTACATAGAATGCATGAAGGTAAAAAAATCTTCAGCTTTTACAACCACTTTAAGCTGCAAACACAGCTGGATGGGGATGTACACATTCAATGGCCTAACCCAAAAAGTCCCCACTTATAATTGGAGGCATGGAGCAGATGTTTGGGCTATATTAAGGGAAATCATTAATGGTCACCATTTTCTCTCTAATTCTTAATTCTTTGAAAAAGCAGATACAAGAGATATGGGTCTATGCGGTCCTCGACTGTTAGTGGTTCCACCTTTGGGGATGGACACTTGCCAGTTTTGACATTCGGAGACATTTGCTAGTGGTGCTATATCTCTGGGGAAGAAATTCAAAGTTATGAAATTCGAAAAGCGTTGGATGTCCCAGTCCATGCATAAAGCTGGCAATCAATATGATTCTGCAGTTTAAAAATAATTACTGAAAATACAACTTTTCACTGCTTTGCAATATCATTGAACTTTTCTTGATCTTATGACTTTTGTTTGTGTTACGGTCTTTGATTCTGTAAAATCTTTTAATATGAATCAGATTTTATTTTATGTACAAATAAAGTAGTTTTTAGTTTTGTTTGGTTGCCTTCAAAATCCCCATGAGAAGTAAATAGAATTTTTGTTTATATAACAGGGATGGTGGCAACCACACCCACAGTCACAATATCTTTGAATGACAAAAATGCTTGCTTCATGGCATGGTAAAAATTATCCCTCCTATTGCATTTGGCAGGCAGTACAGTCCTCTGATTGTGATTCATTCAAACAGATAGGGCATGCAGTTTCAGAGCAGTGGTGCAGCAATTACGTAGTTAAAACAAGCAGTCAGGAGGCTTCATGTCACCTCCTCACTGCCTGTCAAAAAAGCGATGAGCCACAGATTGCTTTTAGAGCAGCAATCCTAGCCACACCTCTAAACCTAGCCAAAATGCTTTTTTCTTGTTTAACTTTTTTAAATTGCCCATAATACATTTAATACTTTTAGCTTTTTTTCCCCATTTCTTTAAATATGTGTTAAAATGCTAATTTTAGTCCTGAAGATTAGTTATATATATATTATGGAAGCAGAGACCCTGGAGAATAAAATGGCAGTAGTTTAAAAAATTTTTAAATCACATGATATTAGCCCAACTGTTGCAAACCCATATTTTCAGTAACAAAAATACACTAAAGTTAATTTTAGTGCACAAAAACACAATATATGACTCAATTCTGGGTAAAATATCAAAGATGAGGTTTCATTGAGTAAATGGATACTAAACATGCCAAGCCTCAAAACTGTGCATCTGTTAAATGCCAACAAACTTTGGTGCCTCCAAATTGTCCATAGATGCTTTAAAAGCCTTCACAGTTCGAGTTAGAGTTAACCATGAATGACGGAGCTAGAATTATTGCTCTCCTACTGGCGTGCGTGGCGATACCTAATATGTGTGGCGCAATCATCATTTTCATACATAGGCGCACTCAAAGTGAAGGCATATGTTTATATGGGGTATGTTTTTTCATTGTTTTTACTATAATTTTAAACTTTTTTTTTTTAAACCAACCTTATTGCTGTTAAATAGGGAGCTAAGAAATACCTCTATGTGACTGTATAATGCAATTGTCAGGTTCAATTAAAAGAAACATCAGGTATCTATTAGACTTCGAATGTCACCTCTGCACTCCATTAAAGCTGATCAAGCACATACTGTGCCTAACAAGCTTATTCCCTGACAGGGGCAGACTGACCATTTGGAAACTCGGGCATGCCCGGGCCCAGGGTCAGTAGGGGGCCCCATGAGATGCCCCTGGTACCTTTTTCATAGGCTTTTTTGAGTTTGGGCAAGGACACAGGGGCCCCATGATCCCCTATCGCCCGGGGGCCCCATGAGTTGTCAGTTTGCCCCTGTTCCCTGACCACAGTGGCTAGATAATGACAGCACTGATACCAGAAGTGATGAGAAGCTTGTAACTTCCAGCTTCATTCTACAGAGGGAAAATCACTGATCTCGCATAGCCCACCCTGCTGAGACTGCCATGGTTGTTCCATGGAATGAGTAAAATACAGGGCAAGGAGGGAGGGTCAGGCTTGGGGTTACATGTTACCCAAATCACTTCCACTAGAAAGTCGACTGGCTGAAAAAATATAAACAGACTCCTCTGCTATAGCAGCCAGGAGTGAATTTACAGACTTTAGGTGCCACCAACATACCGTAAGGCTTACATCTGTGGCAATGGAAAAGTTAAAAATCACTGCTGAGTAACTCTGCCTTCAGAAAAGTACTTTCTAAGATTACTTTCCTTTAGCAACTTTGAGGTCATGTCTCTGTGTGTGTCTACTCCTAGCTACCTATTAATAACAGTTCCCTCCTCACCTGTATTCACATTCTAGGGACTCATTCACACTGGTGGTGGTAAAAACAGGTGGTTAAGCTGTGGTTTCACTGTCCCCCAACTGTCCACCTTAATACAGAAATGCAGCTTCCCAGGGCTGTAACGAAACTTTGCTTCCCAAAAGTGACAATAATTAAATGGCATCTCAAGTTCAGCTGCTCCACAACGACCCTGCAACCGCATGTAAGGGCATGGGTGTAGCACAGTGGGTTGGCATTTTGAGGGTTAAAAAAGTAAAATGCCCTCTGAAGAGGAATTCACGGATTACATTACAATATAGTCACATGTATGAACTAGCCCTTATGTATTTAACCACTTGCCTACTGAGGACTTATACCCCCTTCCTGCCCAGGCCATTTTTTAGCTTTCAGCACTGTCGCACTTTGAATGACAATTGCGCAGTCATGCAACACTGTACCCATATGACATTTTTATCACACAAATAAAGCTTTCTTTTGGTTGTATTTACTCGCCACTGGGTGTTTTATTTTTTGCTCTATAAACAAAAAAAGAGCAAAAAATTTAAAAAATAAAAAACGTTTTTCTTTGTTTCTATTATAAAATTTTGCAAACAGTTAATTTTTCTCCTTCACTGATGTGAACTAGATGCTACATGCTGGTAGGTCAAGTGGATCCTGTCTAAATTAGCCCTAGTATGTGTATGTATGAATGTTAGTTAGGGACCTTAGATTGTACACCCCTTCAGAGAGATAGGGATGTACAATGTGTGTGTGTGTGTGATGTGTGTGTGTGTGTGTGTGTGTGTGTATATATATATATCGTATTTTTCACTCCATAAGACGCACTTTTTTCCCCCAAAAAAATGTGCGTCTTATGGAGCGGAAGCCCGGAATTCCTGCTGCCATCTTGTTAGAATACCGGGCCAGCCACTCGGCTCTTCTGTGCTCCTTGGTCCTACCTGTTCCTTGGTCCAGCGCTGTCCTCACCGTCTTCTCTTCCCGGTGCCGGCATCTTTAGTGTGGGCACCCGACTGTGACAGCTTGTGGCTTCACAGCTGGGTGCCCACTGCACATAAAGCAAGAAGCGCTGTGCTTTGTGAATGGTTCGGCAGTCTTCTGGGACATGGCACCTGTCCCAGAAGGCGGGGAGGGAAGACAACTCCGCAGAAGTGGGAGCTGGTACCTGTCAAATTCGGGTACCCGCTCCTCCCCCCCCCCCTCTGCTCCCCAAAGGTCCGCAATCTCTGGTCATCTCCTGTAGTATGTCCGAAGTCTCTGGTCATCTCCTGTAGTATGTCCGCAGTCTCTGGTCATCTCCTGTTCTGTGTCCACAGTCTCTGGTCATCTCCTGTACTATGTCCGCAGTCTCTGGTCATCTCCTGTAGTATGTCCGCAGTCTCTGGTCATCTCCTGTAGTATGTCCGCAGTCTCTGGTCATCTCCTGTAGTATGTCCGCAGTCTCTGGTCATCTCCTGTACTATGTCCGCAGTCTCTGGTCATCTCCTGTAGTATGTCCGCAGTCTCTGGTCATCTCCTGTAGTATGTCCGCAGTCTCTGGTCATCTCCTGTAGTATGTCCGCAGTCTCTGGTCATCTCCTGTAGTATGTCCGCAGTCTCTGGTCATCTCCTGTACTATGTCCACAGTCTCTGGACATCTCCTGTAGCATGTCTGCAATCTCTGGTCATCTCCTGTGGTATGTCCGCAGTCTTTGTCATCTCTTGTAGTATGTCCGCAGTCTCTGGTCATCTCCTGTAGTATGTCCGCAGTCTCTGGTCATCTCCTGTAGTACGTCCGCAATCTCTGGTCATCTCCTGTAGTACGTCCGCAGTCTCTGGTCATCTCCTGTAGTACATGTCCGCAGTCTCTGGTCATCTCCTGTAGTATGTCCGCAGTCTCTGGTCATCTCCTGTAGTATGTCCGCAGTCTCTGGTCATCTCCTGTAGTATGTCCGCAGTCTCTGGTCATCTCCTGTACTATGTCCACAGTCTCTGGACATCTCCTGTAGCATGTCCGCAATCTCTGGTCATCTCCTGTACTATGTCCACAGTCTCTGGTCATCTCCTGTAGCATGTCCGCAATCTCTGGTCATCTCCTGTGGTATGTCCGCAGTCTCTGGTCATCTCTTGTAGTATGTCCGCAGTCTCTGGTCATCTCCTGTAGTATGTCCGCAGTCTCTGGTCATCTCCTGTAGTATGTCCGCAGTCTCTGGACATCTCCTGTAGTATGTCCGCAGTCTCTGGACATCTCCTGTACTGTGTCCACAGTCTCTGGTCATCTCCTGTACTGTTTCCAAAGTCTCTGGTCATCTCCTGTACTATGTCCGCAGTCTCTGGTCATTTCATTTACTATGTTTGCAGTCTCTGGTCATCTCCTGTAGTATGTCCGCAGTCTCTGGTCATCTCCTGTACTATGTCCGCAGTCTGGGGGCCCTAGTTCTAGTGACCTGGAGGTTTCTTCCCACTTCTTGTTTTGTCTATGGGACATGAAGTGAAGGGAAAACTCCCCAAAGGGATACAGATGACAAAAAATAAACTGACAGGGGTTATAACCCCCCCCCCCCCCTTTACTCTATCAAAAAAAGGTTTTGCCCATAGTTCTACTTTAAGAAAAAAATATAAATAAACAAAATGAAGGGTAAGTGTAAAGTAAACCAAAATTGAATGAAATGGGGGGAAATAAAGGGGTGAAGGGTCCATACTCATTAAAAGGTCAATTTGTCATTAAAGATACAAGATTATCTTTAACAGTTAAACTGTTCCTAAACCCAGGAGCCTGCATTCACTATATCTGGTCTCCCACAGTAGACAGAACATGGAAATGCAATTATTGTAGTAAATATAAACTGCTAAATACCTTTTCTCATCTGCAGTTAGATCAGTCTTGTGACTTCTATCAGTGTTCAGCTGAGCACTGGTTAAAGCTTGTAGGAGGAGTTTTCATTCTGCTAAGGCTGCATAACCCCTGACCCTCTGTCTGGACAGTGCACACTAAACTGAGCACGTGCAGAGTATCTCCTAGAGCTCTGTGCTATCAGCAGATGGATTGGGGACAGTAGAAGAAGGGGAAGATCAGAGAAGACAGGATCAAGCAGCCTTTTTACACAATGCGAAGGATTAACCCCTTAGATTCCACACTGCGTATAACAAGCAAGCTTTGCTGCATATACAGACTGATTTTACTGTTGTGGGTTTAACCCCCCTGGCAGTATTCCCGAGTGTAGCTTGGGGTTAACTTTCAGTACCAAAAGAGGTAACAGCTACACTAGGGATTAACCTCCAGCGTAACCGGTGAGAAATTAAAAAATTTTAAAAGTGACATTCACTCGATACACTAAAATCACATAGTAAAACATTACCGTACCAAACCATTTCACATACATTTTGTCCCGAGTGCTTTGTCCTGTCCCCGCCTGCATTTTTACTGTTCTTTCTGCCTGGAAACTGAGAAACGTCCATGGTGTCCAAAAAGCGTCCCTTTAGGTCAAAATCAGTTTTAGACCAGCTAGAGAACAGCGATAGTAAATTAGAACCACTTGCAGAATTGAGTGATAATGATCCGTGGTGAAATTCGTCATCAGACACTGAAAACGATTTTGCGACTAAGATCAGTGATGTGCGAACTTGGCGCTATATTTAAAATTTCAGTGTTTTTGGTTTGATTACATTATTGAATTAAATTTATTATATTATTTTTTATGATTATTTATTATATTATAATCTTATAATTTCATGTTTCAAGTTTTATTATACCCGGGATGTTTACTAGACTCTTGTTCAGACAGATTTCGGTGAGTTATTCCTAAAAATTACAGGCCTACAATAAAACAAATACATATTTCCATGGAAAAAATGTACCGCTTTCAGCACAGAAATATGGACATAATCAGACCGCTAAGGAGGTTAAAAATACAAGATTACTAAACCCAGGACTCTACATTCACTATATTTGGTCTCCCACAGTACACAGAACATGGAAATGAAATTATTATAGTAAATATAAACTGATAAATACCTTTTCTCATCAGCAGTATATAGCAGTCTTGTGACTTCTATTAGTGTTCAGCTGAGCACTGGTTAAAGCTTGTAGGAGGACTTTTCATTCTGCTAAGGCTGCATAACACCTGACCCTCTGTCTGGACAGTGCTCTCTAGCAATACACACTAAACTGAGCATGTGCAGAGCAGGGGCGGACTGACCATTCGAGCACTCAGGCACTGCCCGAGGGCCCGGGGTCAGTAGGGGGCCCCATGAAATGCCCCTGGTACCTTTTATAGGCTTTTTTGAGTGTGGGCAAGGACACAGGGGCCCCATGATCCCCTATTGGCTGGGGGCCACGTGAGTTGTCAGTCCGCCCCTGGTGCAGAGTAACTCCTAGAGCTCTGTGCTATCAGCAGATGGATTGGGGACAGTAGAAGATGGGGAAGATCAGAGAAGACAGGATCAAACAACCTTTTTACACAATGCAGAGATTTAACCCCTTAGGTTCCACAATGAGTATAAGAAGCATGCTTTCTGCATCTACAGACTGATTTTACTGTTGTGGGTTTAATAACACTTTAATCATGATCCAACCCCTTATCATCATCTGTACTAATATATGCTTTCCTCCAAGATTTAGCGATTACCGATATGGCACCTAAAAGCATAAAGGAGATCAGACATGCATCTGATTCAGGAAGATGAAAAAATATATAAATGCATTTTGTCATTTTTCACCTTGGGTGCCAGATGACCTTGTCCTAGCAATGATCCCTGTACAGTATTCACTGTATGATATGGGTCTCATTTCCTTTCTCTAAACATTAGCACAACAATTCAGCAGTCACATCGTCTGTGCACATGCCCTTTGCTGACTTGACTCTATTCATAATTTAACAACAGTTTAGGAGACGTTCTATTCAGTAAATACTTTTACCACAATAGGTTACACTGAGCTTCATCACAGGCACTCAAACATTTTCATGACTCTCCTTGTCATCTCAACTGGCTTCCATCTGGATTTTTTTATTTCTCTACAATGAAACTCCATGAAAGGAATTTCAGAGTGAAAGAAATCCCCTCCTGTCTAAGCTTTATACTGTAATGGTGCAGTTTTATAGTTTATCCTTTGTGAGTTTCTTGATTTCTATCATTCTGCAATATTTAAAAACAGTATATACAAAAGTGTGTTAGGCATTGCACAGTGCAATATACTTAATTCTGTATAATATAAAAGGGGGAGAGCACTTTGTATTCTTTACCAGCAGTTCTGGAGTTTTCTATTTATACAACATTCATTGCGGGGATGTCAAAAGCATTTGTGTAATCTGAACAAAATTTCACCATCATTTTTCTAAGAGATTAATTCTTGTATCATCAGCTGTATCTAGTGGACAAAGTGGAATATAGTTTTTTCATCAAGGGAGAACTATACCCCATTTTGACCAATAGATGGAGCTGACAATACAGGCATTCATCTCTTAGAAAAATTACAAAGACATTTTGTTCAGCTTGCATGAATGCGTCTGATATTTCTGCAATTAATATTTTATAAGTAGAACCCTTAGGCCTAGTTCACACTGGACAAAAAAGAAAAAGCCACCTACCATGACACGTATACCTGTGTCATATTCACATCTCTGTCTCACTTATAATAAGTGTGGATTTATAAACCCAAGATACTTAGCATAAAAAAAAAAGCTTTATTCGATCTCATGGATCATAACGAGGTTAGACTAGACGTGGAGACGCCAAATGTTTTTAAATTTGTGATTTTATTATGACTTGTTCACCATGTCTATGTCTAACCTCTTTATGATCCATGAGATCGAATAAAGCTTTTTTGTAATTATTACCAAATACTGTTATATTATTCCGCTTGGATTTTCAAATAACCATTCTGTGTGAGCAGTAGTGCACTTGTCATACTGCTATTTTTTATGCTAGTTCACACTGGCTTTGAAAACAGGCATTTGAGGGGCATTTTTATCGCTCCTCAAACGCCTATGGAAATGACACTATGGGCTGCACACAGTGCTGTTCACATTATCAAAACATGAAGCATAGTGTTGCGGTGCTTCAAAATTGAATCCTTTTGTCGAGCCAGGAGTAGTGGAAGCCTTTCAACTTCTCCCATTCAAAGCTATGATGAAGCTGCTCAAGTGCCCTGGCAGGTGTTTGAGGGAGGATTTTTAACGCTTGTAAAATACCCATACTAAGGCTCATTAACACCTATCTAATGCACATACTAAGGCTATAGGGGCCT